TACAAATAAAGGAAACTGGCAAGAAGGTGAAGATATTCAGATTAAAAACAAACAAACAAACAAACAAACAAAAAACCAACAACACTAGATGTAAAATAGGAATTTGTAATCTATTCTTTGTGAGTACTTGGGCCAGATCAAGAAGTAGTGGGCTATAATTGCAGCAAGGGAAATTTACTCTAAATATTAGGAAAGTCTTTTCAGTAGCCAGGATAATTAAGCAATGGAAAGGAATGCTCAAGGAGGCTACACAGCTTCTATATGTGGGGATGTCTGAGGACTTATACAACAAACATCCATCAGGAAGGACTTAGGTAGACCTGGTGATGCCCTACGGTGGCAGAATTGCCTAGATGACCTTTTGGACTCTACTCTATCCCACTTTTCCATGACTTGTTTTTCTCCAAGGGAGAAAATTCAGAACTGTCAGCAATTATGTCATAATACATGGCTCAGGAATGGGTTGTGCACATGGGAAGTGAGTAGAGAGCCAGATACTTGACCCTCTTCAGAGGGCTTCCCACCCATAACCCATAAGAGAAAGAGCAGAGGAGCTCAGACAGCAAGGAAGGAAACAGATCAAAACAATGACCTTGGCATCACCAGACTGGTAGGTAAGGCAACATCCATGTCACTGAAAGTGCCAACTTTTGGGAAACCATTCTGTGCCCATGGGCACATGAGTGGAGAAGGAAAGTAGTGAAGGGTTGTGATGAAGCTGGATCATGGCATCATGGCTCTGAGGTGTGAAGCATCTGAGGATGCCACTGTGGTAGCATCCCCAGTGTCCTCACAACCCAGGAGCCTGTAGATATCAGGCTGGCTGCCAGGGCACCCTTAGCTGACTTGGGCATCCAGAACATGGCTGGAGCTGGCAGAGGGGAAAAGTTCTTAAGAAATGCACCTTAACAAAAGCATCAGTAAAAGCTGCTGTCAAGGTACAGGAACAGCTCTACACCAGTGTAACCACTGTGCTCTAGGGCAGCTGTGCTTGGCCTGTTAGTGCAACAAAATTCTAATACCTTTTTTGTTTTTGCAGACAAGGCCTGAGAAAAGTTTCCAGATGATACTTTACTTTTGAATGTATTTCTGTTTTTCATTGCATCAAGACCCTTCGGCAGTACCAAACAGGAAAACTGTATTTTATTGAAGACTCAGAACTAACGTAATCAGTCTCAAGCTCACCCTGCAAATGCATGGTGTTGTGAAATTGTACAAGTGAACTAAGCAAAGGAAGGAGTTAAGAGAACGGTGCCTCAGCCACAGCATGCAGTAGGGTGGGAGCGGAGACACACTGCTTCTCAGGGTGTACTTAAAGATAATGGCAGAATTAAAAGTTTTGTCACACTCTCCTTTCATTTCTGTCTAAGGAGCAAGACCTGATGAGGTATCACCTGGCTGTCATTTTATGCAAGGCCAAGGTCACAACAAAGACTTAAATATGAAAATCTAATCTTCTTTGTTAATGCAAAATAACCTCTTTCTGTATGTGACCTGGCACGGAGTTCAGCCACTTAGCTCCAACAGGCTAAAGACTGCTTTCAAAGCCTTAATTCAATTCCAGCCAGCTTGTTGCAAGCTCTCAGGGAGAACGTGGGGGACTCCCTGCCTCTCCCAAAAGGAATCTGTCACAAAGCTCTCTGCCATGAGCTCTTTGATATCAGATTCACTCTTACACACATCAGTCAGCTCAGATGCTTCCTTCAAATGCGAATCACCTGGAGATCTGGCTGATCTACAAACAACACAGTTTGTAGATCTAGATAGATAGATCTAGATAGATAGATAGATGTTTGATCTACAAACAACACAGATTGCCACTTGCCAGACATTTACATACCAGAGTACTCTAAAATAAAATTTTCTTCCCGGAGCTATAAGATTTCTCTTAGCAAATATGAGTGCATACAAGGGCATATATTTTTTCTACTTTTTCTAAGTAGGATTTCTACTATAGATAAAATAGCACATAGCAGTCCAGCTATGTTTTGCTCTAAGCATCCCTTAAATAAGTATTCAAAGGTCCTTTGGCCCTTATTGTGCAGGGATGATCAAGTTGTTCTGTAAACTTCTTACCACTTGCTGATGCCAGTGGAGTTAGGCACTGAGAGCATTTGAAAATTCAAGATATATAGCAATCTCTTCTGCCACCTGAACCACTTTAAAAAACTAATCTATATTTCTTTGCGCTACCCTCTGAAGAATGTGTCACTGTTAATACAGGAAAATGGATAGACTGATTAAGTTTTTCTCTTTTCTCTGTTTCATCCCCATGCATGCTACTGGTGACAATGGAAGCTTGCCTTTTGGGGATACATGAGATCATATATGGAATCAGCATTAAGGCCTGTATTATTTCCTGGAAAGCCAGAATGACAAGGCAGAAATAGCTGTGAAAACACGATAGTGGTATACATTCATCAAAGTGCCCTCCCTTACATTCCCAAGTGTAGCTGCAAATGACTCTTGATCTCCCTGCCAAATCTTACCAGGTGTGCTTTATAGCCAAGTGCCTTCCTTTATAGTGGCATCACATTCTTCAGGTAATTAGGATTGGCAATTTCTTACATAAAAACTATTAGCATCACTAACAAGCAATATAGCATCTGTGAAATGAAACAGGTTGTTCAATTTAATAGAAAGTATCTGATAGGGCCATCTGGAAGAAGGTTTTTTTTTCCAGGAAACAAACACTTACCTCCCCCAAAGCAAGTGCAGTTAATGTTTTGCTAATTCTTTATGTGAAACATTAATTTTTTCTGTGCTCATTCCCCACAAATAACTGGAAGAAATTAAGTTTCTTTTTAATTATTCTGCAGCACATTTACTACATTACTAAATCCAGCTTTAATAATAGTAATAATAATAATAATAATAATAATAATAATAATTTGCACATACAGAGCATTTTATATCTTCATAGTGGCCTACAGCATTAACTACTGCATCCCAAAATGTGCTGCAATTGAGTTAAGTCCACTACTGCTGGCAAATAAATATTTACTTTGCACTTTGTTGGATGCAACAATTTTATACACATACAACGGAAATTACATTGCTGTTCTATTTCTAGGACCCAGGTTCTGGGACTTTTTGGCTTTCTGGGACAGCATCCAGGACAAAGGCTTCCCCTGTGTCACTATGCTGCTGCTCTGGTGTTAAGTACAGAGCAGCAGCTGACTTCTGCAGTGTTGTGTTTTCCCTTTGGGGAGGAACTGTTTCCAGAGCTGTTCTGCTGTGTCCCTTTGCAGCCACCTTCCCATCCCACCCATAGAATCCCTTGCACGCTGAGCAGCTGCTTAGCTGCAGCCTCAAGTTCTCATGCAGAGGTCTTGTGCCTCTCCTGTTCACTTGTCCCCTCCTCAAGGCATACATGGCAAGGTTCTGTGCAGTGCAGACATAAGGACTATTGCAAAGGAATAGCTAGAATTTCTCCCTGTACTGTTTACCTCCAATTGCTCTTTGAAGTGACTTTTCCGTCACGTGCTCCTAGTGAATAAAAGTAAGAGTCCTTTTGGGATAAAGTATGCATAACGTTCTTTTAGGAAACTATAAACTGGAGACAGTTCTACAGCCTGGGAAAGGAGATATAAAGTTATTTTTATTCTTAAATTCCTTAGAGGGTGAGGCACTCAGATACGAGTGTGATGAGAGCCATACAAGTACATAGAGAGCGCAAGAGAAGGAAAGGAGTGATTAATGCAGCCAGGCTATGCTGCTTGCTGGAAGATGAAACCGAACCCACAAAACCAACATTTTGACAGAAACATTCCACTCCTACTACGGTAACTTTCAAATTAAATATACCAGAGGCGCTATTAACCCTGGTTTCAAACTACTGTGACAGAAGCCATCGCCACCAGCTAAGGATGGCTGCTGCTCCTTGCACAAGTGACCAGAGATGACCAGCCCCAGAACCCTCTCCCAGACACACTGGCTGCCACCAAGTTGTAAATTGGTAGCAGAACAGAAGGCATGAAGAGAGAGTAGCATAACTGATGTTGCTTTCGGCTATTTAAAGAAGATGGAAATTTCTAGAAAAGTCTGGCAGCTGCATCTCTAGAAAGACCATGTATTTTCATGCTTTGTTTTTTGAGGGATGTCTGCAAGTCTGCAAACACAATTAGTAGGCAGATCAAACTGCAGCCTAAAAACCCCGAGACACGTTTCACAGTGTGGACATTTCTCCTCAGGAGCTGTTTGAGACTCACTGTTCCTGTCAAGGAGGATAATGTGCCTCTAAATTTCCCCTGACAGAAAATGTATCACGCTGTCAGCTGCATTAGGGAATGACAAACACAGCTTGGTGGTGGTACTGCTGGACACCTCTTGGATGCTTGCAGCAAGCACAGGTGCAGAAGTTACCTGCCTCAGTGCCAGCAGAGTAAAAGGACCTGGCCAGCTCTAGAACACACTTAGACAAGTTCAGCAACTTGTAAAAAGCATTCATTAATCTCCGTAAAATGAGCCTCCCTGGCTCCTGGGAGGAGGATATATTGAGGTGGAATCTGAGTGACCCGATTATAAAACTGACATAGAAGCAATGTTTGGCTTCTGAACAACAGCTGCTGTTTGAAGGGGCCTTCCAGCAGCCCACCACACGCTGCAGGCACAGCCTGTGCAGCTGCTGGGGGCTTCTTGGCTGCAAGTGGCCAGCCATGCCAAAACAGGGCACAGTCCACAAAGTGCTGATGTTGTAGACCAGGGGAGCGCTTGACAGCTGACCCACCCTGGAAGAACCTGTGTAATGGGTGTGTCAGCCTACACAAGGTTAGCTGGAGACACTTCTGTGCCTAACAGAGGTATCCATGGACCGCTACTGCGTCTACGTGAGAAGAACAGAGCTTTTGCTTTGGCCATACCAACTGGAGCTTTTTGATGGAGAGAGAGAAATTCACTCCCTGTGAACTAATGGGAATTAGGATCACATCCAGAAATTGTGTTTTTCTTTCTAGAACTGGTATTCCCATGTCACATGATATCTGTGTTTCATATTTCAGGTTCCTGGCTGTTACAGCAGGAGCCAGGACCCGGCAAAGAACGATGCCATTCCTTGTACTGAAGGCTTCTGGGACACTGTACACCAGTGGTTGCAGAGCTGGACTGGTGAATCCGAAGATCTGAAGTGAACCCAGGTGCAAGCAGCACCTGGTTCCATCCATGGGAGGTTTCCATCTCCCATCCTTACTGGCTGCTCTGGGAGTTGTTACACTGTGTTTTATCAAAGCTGAAACAGATGCTATCAGTCCACCATAAGATTTCAGGTCCTCTGCAGTTTGATTTTTTTTCCTTGTCTTTTTAAAACCCTTTTTCAAAAGAGCGGAAAAGCTATATATATATGCATATATACTAAAGCAATTGCTGTCACCTTTGACTTTGCCATATATCTTTATCTATTCAGTGATGTATTCTTTTAATAGATCTGAAAGAAATGGATGGTGGGTACAGGGAGAATACATCCAGCGAGACTCTAAAAAAGGACTAGAAGGAAAAAACATCACGTATAAGGGAACTGTTTTTGATCTAATGACAAAGGCCTGAACCAAACAGGGCTGATAGTCCGGCCTACCTGTCTGCACTGGGCTTGTTTAGCTCTAGGCCTCCTGATGCAAAGCAGATGTCCAGCAGCACACCTCCCAGATAACTGCTGCAGGAGCTACGGGGCCCTGGCCAGATTTGCAGTGTGTATTCCAAGAGTAATATGCAAAGTCTTTGAAATCTTTGCCTTTCTGGATTCCCTCAGAGTCCCTTTCTTCACATAATAAACAAAGGCAAACACTGTAAAAAAGATTTACTGCAATAAAGGTATCCATCTGCTCCTACATCTCTACAAACCCACATTTGGTGAAGTGAAATTAAGCAGTTGGCCAGACAAGGTAGCCAGTGCATCAACAAACATAACTGCAGCATAAATAAAATAAAACAAAGTGAACAAAGGCAGTTAATGACAAACTTGCTTATTTTTCAAAATCCCAGAAATTCCCTACAGAAACCCAAAGGGCCTTTCATTCTAGCTGCATTCTTTCTGACCCTACAAGTGACATAGTACCCACCCTTTGCTCTTCCCAGACAATCAGTTTGGATGTGAAACTGAAAAAAAAAAAAAAAAAAAAAACCAAATTACAGAAAGTTGGATTCTTTTCAAAGTGATTTTTCTATTGTGAAAATCATAAATGAGTTTGCTACAAAAAAAAAAAAAAAAGATGTTCAGGTAATCATTTGTTTCCAAAGTCTCATTAAATCTTAAGCTATCACAAGGCAGTGGATAAAACAACAGAGCTGGCAATATCAGAATGTCATATCAAATTAAATGCAAGAAGCTGGACTGCAAGTGGGTCCTTTGAGGATCTCCATGCTGTAACCACTCTCACCAATCACAGCCAGGATGCTGTAGAGCAATAGGAGTAAACTTCTCTTCCTCTAGATTTCATCAAAGCTACATTGGAGCCATCTCCTCTCTGCACGGAGAGAGTGAGACAGGTAGAGAAATAATCGTCTGTCCAGACAGGATGGGAAAAAAAATACAGTAAATGCACTGGTGCTTGGAGCATGATTTAGCTCATGGCTAGTGAGGCCCTTAGTAAGAGATACCTGTTTTTGTATCTACTTCTCAAGCAGGAAGCCAAGCCAGTACTGTTGAGGCAAGCCATTTCCTCATCTGTTCATCACAGTCCCCATTTCTGCTACAGCTGTGATTTCTCCAGCAGTAAGGCTTACTTTCCTCTTGGTGCTGTAATATCAGGTGGTTGCTGAGCACCAGCCATCACAGCCAGATCAAACCCCACCTCTGCGTGAGGCTTTTCTCTTACCCACTGAAGTGAACAGGTGGGGAGCTGTGGTGAAGCCAGAAGCCAGTCAGAGCATTCTTGGTGGCTCGTGACTTGATTGGATTTAGGTGACTATATATCATTGTCTCTTTGGCTCACAATTTCTCAATCTTGTTTCCCAAGACATCATTTTGACCCCTGTTGGAATCATACTGCCTTCCACTCCATAGTTTATCACTTAGCCTTGGGGTGGAGTCTGAAGTAACAAGATTTGCCTTCAAGGCCATTGAAACATTAAATCCTTCATGTGCTCACAGACTGGCTGTGCACTTCTGTCCCTGAGGTCAGATCCAGAACGCCCTCACAAAGGCCATTAAAGTTCCTGGAAAGACATGTTGTGCACAGTGACTGGATCAGGTGGGCAATGCCTTCATAATTGGAAGCACTTTAAAAATTCATGATCAGCTAATCACTGGTGGCAACTCATTAGCAGGCAACTGATTTTTGAGATGCTGTCTGTCCAGCCCTCATACATCAACCCAAATTCCCAGGGTACCAGCAAGGACGAGTATGCTTGGCACTCCTGAAGTGAGTCCTAGGAGCACTCTAAGGGTCAGCACCCAAAGACACTTTAAGTTTAGGGCCTGTGGAATTCAAGAGGTTGAACTCCTTCTCAAAACTTTGTCTCCAGAATATTGGTGGAAGAGCTTTGCTGCATGAGTCAGATCTTTCTGGAAGCCCTCGTGGTTACCCCTGTTGCTTTACTGAGCACATATTGTTACTATTTTTTGAGAAACAGCATCTCCCTATGTTCTTCCCCTAATCTAAGAATAGAAATTTTCCAGAGAAATAGCTTTATTGCCCAGTGGCCTTGATGCAAAGATGAAACTGTCTCTTCTCAAGATAGAGGGTTTCCCAGTTTATTAAAAAATACACGCATTTGACAATTTTACTGTAACTTATTTTGAGTGTGTAACAAAATAGGGGAATTTTTGTGGTTTGACTTGCGTTTCTGCACTTCTATATGGTAATTAAATGTAAAAAAAAAAAAGTCAATTAAAAACAAACTTTGGCAAGACATTAGTCAAAATATGTGTGCTTGAATTTTTTAGAGGCTTGAGGGGGCATTCCTTTGACATTTGTTTTTTTTTAAAAAGTGCCTTAAAATACAACACTTCAAAAGCAGCTGCTTTGCAATCACAGAGCATTTTCCATATGCAGAGTCAGTGTCAGATGAACAAACATTGATGTGCCTAAATGACCATAACTGTTGGTAATAGGTTAGCTAATAGTTTGCACAATATCTTTTCAAGAGTGGTGGAGCCCTGTTAGTGCTCATTTCATAAGCAATAATTAAGAACGGAAGGTGAACCTTACCAGAGGTGTATGCTCCCATCCAGTACAGTGTGCCAGGCAATGAATTAGTATTGGGGCCATGAAAGAAGAACAACCAACCATATACAACTCTGAGTTTTACAGCCTTCCACGCCTATTTCTGCAAGTGCTGTTGGGCATTGATCTAGTCATATACCTTCTCTCTATCTCATCTTCCTCATTCATAGAGTGGGGATAGTCATCTCTTCAAGTGCTGCCTGGTATAACAAAGCCAAGTGCACCCAAAGTGCAGAAAATCATTGCAAGAAGGGGGTTGTTAATAAAACTGCCTGATTAGCTCATGCTGTTATACAAGATAGGAAAGCAGAATAAGAGCTCATTAAGGTTTTTTTTTTAATTGTAGCAAAAAATTGTTTAAAATAAGCTAAAGGTTCAGATGAGCTGTGAGCAGAAGGGATGGCATCCAGCCTGCCATGCTCTGCTTCTGCCCTGTTGGCTCTGCTCTGCTACAGGGCAGCAGCTCTGTCCCCACTCCATTCCCTGCTCCCACCAGCAGGCACCTTCCAGTCTCACGCCTGCTTCAGGGACTGCTCAGTGCTGGGCCTTGACAGTTTCTCCTGCAAGGGAAAATGCAGCCTCTGAGAGCAAAACCATCTGCTCTGATAAACACCCTGCAGCAAAGCCAGGCAAGCGTGAGGTCTCCTGGGACTGGGAGCACTAGTGCAATACACAGTCATCACGAGAGGCAATTTAGAAATCTGCTCACAAAAGAAGCAAGGGTAAACATGCTATTGTGTGCTACCCACTGTTTATTGCAGGGATTTTGAATTTAGAAGATAAATAAACAGGCAGGCTGTGAGCGGTAAGGAAAGAGTTGCAAATTTGTGTCCAATCATGCTATGTCTAGCTCATCAGGGTTGAATTGGCAGAAGGAGGCTGTCCCTGGGAGGTACCAGGAAGAACATGCCAGGCCACGTTCTCCTTGCCGATGTCTCCATCACATGTAGAATGAACTGGACGCACAGCCACAGCCCCAGGGATCCCAGTGGCACCTGCCATCTAGTTACTCCTAGTCATGGCTGGTCTGGGGTTTACATTTATGGTCATCAGCATTTTTATTCTTCAATACTGTTGGTGATCAATGATTGTTTTGGTGCATTTCAGGCAAAAGCTGGCATATAATAGACATTTGTGCTAACAGGAACAGATGTAGTGATTAATCAAATATCGATATCAAAATTAACTATCAAATATAATTTGCCCAGTAACATCTTCTAGTCACTAACTGCAGGGCAGCAACCTGAGACATCTGCAGAAATTAGGGTGAAAGGAGGATGAGGGTAATAAGAAAAACATTATCCGTGATATGATATTCTGACATTTCAGTCATTAAAAGAGGAATACAACTCCAATATCCAATCATAGATATTAACACTCAAGCAAACACACTTTAAAGAAGGTAAAAAACAAATAAAGATGTAGTTGCCCAGAGCAATTTTGGCACATCTTCATTATATTAAAGCTCAGAGGAGTTGAAGTATTTTTTGTGGCAGTGCTTGCAAGGAATGTGTCACAGAGCTGGAGGGAAGATTTTTCCATTCAGTTCTCTGTCACTCTGGTGGTGAGTACCAGAAGACCTCATTTTTTCCTAAATGTGTTTTTGGTTTGCTTGCTTTGTCAAAGGCAGCTTTGTGGGAGCAGTGCACTTTTCCAGGTGTTTTTTAGGAGGTTGCTTTTCTCCCACTGGGTGGGCAGTCAGTGGTCCCTTAGGACGCAGGACCTGTCACAAAATACAAGAGGTAGAGTCCCTTTCACCCAGATCCCGTGTCCAGCAGTCCCCTCCACAGACTGCTTGGGAGAGATGACAGCAGTAATCCCATGGAGGATCCTGCTCATTTCCTCTTAAACTCTCTTAGAAAATAGCCATAGGATGAGGCTTTCCAACTTCTCCAGAATCCTGTTTCTTTTAAATATTTACTTTCACCTTTTGGCAAAGAATTTTGCAGGCTATGAGCCCATTTTGGGGGGGAAAAGCGCTAGTCAGTTCATCACTCACATGGGAACAGATGCTGAACTAGGGAGAAGGCAGTTTAAAGCTCGTCCAGATGAAAAACCTTCTTTTAAAATGCAGCTTTTTCAGGTCTTGTCAGCAGCTCTAGGCATCACCAGAGCATATTGAAAAGCAATT